TTGAAGCAATCAGGTAACAATTAATTAATAACTCTAAAAAGTCAAATATGAAATATGACAAACAGATGTAGCAAGAGTATTACAGTTGAAACAATTGATAGTGATGGTAAAGAGTGTAAAGTGACAGATAAATGCCTAAAAGTACCACAAAACTGCCATATTAAGGCAAAAGCAGATAATTCGGCCAGCGCAATGTATTATCCATTTAGTGGGGTTTGTATTGCTCTTTTATTGGATAAAGTATCATATTGTAATCTTAATGAATCTAGGCTACAAAGTTTTGTGATGATTCTAAAAATACTCCAGAAAAAGAAAGACATAATTCTGATGCTCCAACACCACAAAATTATTTCTGCGATGGCCAAAGTGCTTGGGATGTTTTAAGGGAATTGGATGATTTTAAAAATGACAATAATCCACCGATTGCTGCACAAGAAAAGATTGATTTCACACCAAATTTTCTAATTTATCGGCAAACTTCAGACAAACTAAATATTGTGCTAGTTCTTGATGTTTCAGGCAGTATGTCAAATGTACCGAGTGGAGCTGTAAATCCCTTAAGGCAGATTGTATATTCAGCCTGCATTGAGTACATAACTGATTATGTGGTTGCTGGTGATCGCATTGGTATTGTGCAATTTAATAAGCACTCCCTTCTCTTACAAAGTTTAATAACTGTAACGAGTACGAATAAAGCAGAAATCCTACAGAAAGTTCCTAACTATGCTTCTGGTGGAACTTCCATCAAGTCTGGAGTACAAGGCGGAGTAGCGGCGTTAGGTAAGGCTGCTCGAGGAGGTATAATAATCCTCATGACGGATGGAGAATCCGACAATAACGATTTACAACAAGCGAAAAATATTGCTGATAGCTCAGGCATTACTGTCTACAGCGTGATGTTAACGAGAGATGCGACGCCTTTTCTAAAGGCTATAGCAGACGCCACTGGTGGACAAACGTATTTTACAACTGGACAAACAGTATCCAATAATGAACAATCGGTTTCTGAAGTTTTACGTAGCATTGGGAATATTCAAGAAGGTCTCCGCTCAAGAACAAATTCCTACAGCCAAAGAGATATAGCAACACAAGTGTCGAAGAACGTTGTAAATATCCTACCAAGGCAAAAGCAGACGACCCAATTCTGGATTGATCAATATTCTATTAGCTTCTCCCTTATTATATCTACTCTTGTTCATCCTAATACTATTCAAATTGAGTTGATATCGCCAAATGGAAATCAAGTTGACATTAAAAAGTTTACAAAAATTGATTCCACATCTAATACTATAAAGATAACAGTTTCGGCCTCTGTCGGTAAATGGAGATACATTGCTTCAAGTGTATCCGGAAGTGTTAATACGAGAATAAATGTTGACGTCATATCCTACACCAATAGCCCAAGTTCTCAAATTTCATTCACAGGAAAGTTTAAAACCACTTTTATCGACTTTAACAAAAATATCGAAGCTGTAAAGATCGAATCGATGCTGTTTATTGGAGATTACGCAATAAGAAAGGCTGAAGTTGTGGCACATGTATTCCTCGCTGGTATTCTTGTTGAAAAAGTTCAACTTAATGACGACGGTATTGGTGCCGACGCGTTTGCTAATGATGGAATATACTCTGGATATTTTTCCAACATAACCAGCAATGGAAGATTTACTGCAAGATTTACCGCCATCAACTATGAATCAAAAGCATTCTACTCTACAATAAAACAATCTGATGGAATAAGTGACCACTCTAATGGCTGCTCTCCACCGTCATCAGAGATAAAACTTTTAAGTCCATTTGAAAGAATAACAGCAGGAAATTTTCTGGATGTTGAAAACTTCAAACAAGGAGTAGACTATTTTCCACCAAGTAAAGTTAAAGATTTAAAGTTCACTGGTGTGAATACAAAAGAGCAAGTCATATCATTCGAGTGGACTGCTGTTGGTGACGACTGGAATTTTGGAGTTGGTAAGTTCAGTTTTAAATTGCTACATAATTATCGTTTTGATACAAGAAATACTGAAATGTAGCAACAAAATATGACCTCCGAAAATCATCATCGTCAAAGTCTCTAAGAGAGAGATTTAATTCAACTACACTACTCGAAGGTATTGAAAATTTAAAGCCAAGGAAATCAGGCGAAAAAGAGAAATTTCAAATGAAAATTTTAGAGAATTGCAAAGATAGCTTTTTCGTTGGGCTTATGGTTATCGATGATGCTCATCGTACAAGTAAACTGTCTAACGTAGTATCAGTTCCATACCATTGTGGATCTAGTACCATTAATATCCAAATTGCGTCTATTCTTGCTGTATTACTAAGTTATATCTTTCTGTAATGGGGTCGACAGATAACATCCATAAATGACAAATTTCAAGGCTAGAATTTCGATTGAAATATGCTTAGCAAAACTGATTTCTACTTAGGAGGCTCTCCTCTATTGGAAAAGGTTAGGCACAGCCAAGCGCTGGGTTAGGGTTAGGGTAAAAGCAACAATTTGTGGATGTTTTCTGTCGCGTCCTTCTGTATTTTCTATTAACAATACTCTTTCCTCCTTTAATTTCTTTTAATAATAAATTGAGCGATCTAATGATAAAGAACAGCTTCACAATAGTCTCCATCGCAAAGAACATCTAAGAGAACAGAAATTCGGGACCGGTCAAAAATGAGTATGGGAAAACTCGTCCCCTTTTTGGGAAAACTCGTTCCTTTTTTTTGGGAAAACTCGTTCCTTTTTTTTGGGAAAACTTGTCCCCTTCTTTGGGGAAAACTTATCCCTTAAATTGATAAATAATGAAATAAATAAAAATAAATGAAAAAATGACATATTGAATGAGAATTGGGTAGAAAAAAAAGTAGTTGCTCACTTCCTGTTGACAACTGTCTAAAGTGAAAAACCATAATTTGATAATTTGGCTTAGTTATTAAAGGTCTGTTGAGAATAGAAATTTGTGAGTATATTGTTAAGATTATAGCTTATTATAAGTAGATTAGTTTATGTCAAATATGTGTTTTATTGCATTTTTTCAGTGAAACATCAAATTGAAAGATGGCTCCTGTTTGTTCAACCTGTAAAAATCGATTTTATGGCAGACAAAAAAGAATAAAATGTGTTATATGCAATCAAATTCTTCATGAAAAGTGTCTTCAAAGTAAGTGTTACAATCTGTATAAACTGAGTATTATTATCTTCTTTTTTTCAAAGACCAGAGTCAGTTCATCTGCACCCTTTGTGAAACATTTCTAAAAAACAAATCAAGATACCTAATGAACCAGAAAAGAGTGGATCAAGATGAAAATATTGTAGCTTTGGGTGAGAATGGTCCCTCTGAAAATCCAGAACAGGGGGATACTGATACTTACACGAATCATGATGATAGCACACAAGACTTATTAGAGATGAGTGGTGAAAATGAAAATCATGCAGCTATGAATGAGAATCACTTGTCTGAAAATCAAGAACAAATGCAAATAGATACTAACATGGATCATGAGAATTATAAGGAGATAAATGAAGGAGAGGAAGAAGAAGAAGCAACATATGTAGATAAAGAGTTTAAAGTTTTGCTTGGTGGAAGTCAGAGAGGAAAGGATATTTTATAGATAAATATATTATAACATTCTTTTCGAATTCTCTTACTATATAAGGGGACAAGTTTCCCCAAAGATGGGGACAAGTTTTCCCAAAAAAGGGGATGAGTTTTCCCAGGGATGAGTTTTCCCGTTCCCATATGAGCATATCTTTATTCTCTCCCACAGTTCATTCTCTGAATTGAATTGTGCCCCATCATAAACCAAATTTTTAGTCAGGTGCCACACATTTTCTATTGGGCTAAGATCAGGGCTCTTTGCTGGCCAATCAATTGGATGTATGCCATTTGTCCTGAATGCTCTCCTGGTAACTCTTGTTGTGTGACAACCTGCATTGTCTTGTTGGAAGATATAATTTCTCCCCATTTTATCTGAGATTTCTCCAATCACAGGGAGAATATCTTCTATAATAAAGCAAGAGTAATTTTGAGCATTTAATTTTTTGCTCACCCTCCAAACCTTGAACACCCCATCTGATGTTATTAGTCCCCAAACCATTACTCCACCTCTCCCCATATTTTTTGTTAACCTAAACTCATTTTCACTGCTATTTGTCCAGGTCCTGAAGTCATCAGGACCACTAAGTGAAAATCTGACCTCATCCATAAAAATCACCCTTGACCAATCTATATTATCCCAAATGCTATCTAAACAATATTGTTTTCTGCGCAAGCAATTCTTGGGAGTCAAATCAACTCTTTGCCTTATCCTCTGTAGGTAAAATAGGTAATAAGTACAGAACTTAACTAAGAAAAGTAATATTGTTGAAAAAATTTCTGTTTCAGATGTCTATTTAAATGCAATTCCAGGATGTCTGGTTTTTTTTTGTCTCACGGCCAAATAAAGAAAAAAAATTAAAAATTATTACAAAATTTTTGCTAATAATATTCACAAATTTGATGATTTTTCTCCAAGATTTTTTGGTAATATGTAAATATAACTCTTTTTTTGTGTAAATTTAGACAAAAAAAAGCAAATTTAAAACAAAGATAACAGTTTTCGGGTGTTTTAAAAATTGGCCTATCAAATTTTACAGTGTCCGGATATTTTTGTCCCTTACTGTATATTAGTTGATTTTTTGAAACATGAGGCATCTTTAATTGCAGTCTTTCAAAAGCTCAGATCAGAAAAGAAATTGAAAAATTGAATCTATTGGAGAAAACTGCCAATATTTATTCTCAATAGAAATCTCTTCAATTCTCTCAATTTCTATCCATTTCCCTTTGAATATTTTACTTTTTTCTCTATTTATTAAATATATATTCACGTAGATAAATGTATCATAACATTCTTTTCAAATTCTCTTACTAAATAAGGGGACTAGTTTTCCCATTCCTGCCAATGAAATATTTGAAGGTTAGATTTCAGGCTGGGAAAAGGTTAGGATGAATAAGATAACTGTTAATTTGTTCTTAGGCAGGTCTCATCTAAGGGTTAGGGGCATTCAAAAAGGTTAGGCATAAACAAGGGTTAGGGTTAAGGTAAAACCATAGATTCGTGGCCATTTTCTACCACATCCCAGAAATTCTCATCATCACCATTATTGTAGTTAATGTGCTGGCCGAGTTTGATTGCAAGCGAACTGAAAATGAGAGTACAACTTTACTATCTTCAATTGTGGAATGAGAACATTGGCTGAAAAATGATATTGAAGTTGAATCTTTTCTCAAAAGCATCATATCATTGTACTGAAAGTTGTACATCAATATTAATATTATCTATACTTCTATTTACTTTGGACAAATAAATTTGGAAATAAAAGGAAACCTATACCCAATCCACAAAAAGAAAACCTTATCTCTTAAATTTTTATAATAATAAATTTTGTAATTTTTTGTAATTGGCAAAAACCCACATAATCATTCACCAATAAAAAACTTGGAAACAAGAATTTGTATAAGAGATGAAATCAATGACACCTGTTCAACAGATGGAAATTCATTGTACTCAATATAATATTATGTATCAATATAATAATGATATTAGAGACAATCATACTGAAAACATAAAAGCAGACAGTCAAAACAGGTAAAATATTTTGTGGTATGTTTTTAAAATAGAACACATTACTTTTGAGTGAGTTGTTTAAAAAATGTATTGTATTTTGAAATATTTGAAAAATATTGAATACAAATTGTAAATAACAAACAATCAATTGTTAGAAATTAAATTTAAGACATGCATTCTCTTTTGCAGAGATTTTCTAATAAAATTTCCATAATTGAAAATGTCTTTACTGGCCCTTTCTTCTGTTATTGGTAAATATTTTTCACAATGGAAATAATATTCAGATTTCTATAAAAAAAGGATCAAAATAAAGAATGTTTTTAATGTCTAAACAACTAAAAGTATCTTTTTATTACTCTGTAATAAAGAGAGTTTCCAAAATCATCATTACTAATTGCTAAACAATCTTGATGAGTAGTTTTAACAAAATTAATCAAGTAGAAATAGCATTTCAGATATTTATAATTCTTGAAAAAGTTTTTATCAACCTGAAATTTGAAATCTTCCTTTGAAGAATATAGATAAAAAGAGAGTAGGTTGATATTATTATTTAGCAGTTTAACATCTGTTACAAATGAAACAAAAAGTTTTACATGAAAAAAACATTTGGCAGAAAATATCCAATTTTTAGTGTGTAGAATAACAGTCTATTGGATGTTTTCTGTAGTCTGTTTTTTATACATTGCTGTGTTATATTGTTTTTTAAATTTTCCAACAGTTTTTTTCTGTAAATAGAAAAGATATTTCTGTTTGAGTAAATGAAAAGTGAAGATATTATATAGCAAACTTTTTCTCTCTCTGATTGAAGCAGTGTCTTTTGTAACATAACTGCAAATGATTTATTATAAAAATATAAGGGTTAAGTAGTGAATTTAATGGGATAAGGCTAATGACAACTATAGTGTAAATATCATTTTTTATACTTAGAACAATTAATTTGGATAAAATTGCTGAGAATGTGAAAAAAAAATGAGTTAGATTTATAAGAAATTTATAAAATTTACACTAAACATTCTTACAAAGAAGAGAAACCGGAAACCAGCATAAAACATTTGAAATTGTCATAAGAATAACATTTGTTGATAAACTATTTCTATTCTTTAATAAACTAGTTGATTTGATTCTTAATGCTAATTTTCCATATAAAATGCATATAACAATGCTTAAAAAGAAAATAAATACTCCAAAAGTTAATAGTGAAAAAATCCATCCTTCAGTCCTATCACTTCTAATTTGAATGTTAAAACATATTGTTGATTTTGAATAGTAATTCTATTTTAAATGAAAAAAATATAATCCAAAAAATAATTTTTAAAAAATGTTTACACTATAAATGATAACTGGTAGAGTTGATATAAATATTAGCAAAGATGTTCCTACAAGTAGGATTATTCTTTTATATTTGACTATAGCTGGAACTTTGAATAAATGCATGACAGCTTCGTAATGTTCCGTCGCTAAACCTAAAATTGAACATATTGAAAATAATAGTGAAAATGTTACCAGAGTGCCAAGAATTGAGCAAGTTGTACTAAATCTCCAATTATCCTCATTTTCTAAATAACTTGTACCAGAGAAATGAATATCGGCAATTGCAATAGAAATTATATAAATTCCAGTTAATAAATCACCAACAGTTAGACAAATTCTAAATGATTTTGATTTCAATTTCACAAAAATTGATAAAAACAATGTGATTAAGTTTCCTATCACACCAAATGTTCCAAGAATCCAAAATAATATTCTTAAATAAATTGATGGAATTATATTTTCACAAGTCAGAAAATCATTTGGATTTGGTACACATTTCACTAAATTCTCTAAAACTTTCCATCCTAAACAACACAATTGGAAATTTTCATTTTCAATTTTATTCAACTTTTTCATATAATTTGTAAAATATTTTATATATTTCACTGGAAATTTTGTATTCTTCATATACAAAACTCTAAGATTTATTAGATTTTTAAATGAAAACTTTTCAATAAATTTTATAAAACAATTCTCCATTTTGAATATTTGTAAATTTTTTAAATATTTAAAAATATATTTTCTTGTAATTGAATGAATTTTTGTTGTTGAAATATCAAATATTAATAGATTTTTCATTGGAAATTTGAAAATTTTATCCAATTTTTCAATAGGATTATTTGATAAATTTAATTTTTGAAGAATGGTAAATTTGTTGTTGTTTAAAAATTGTAATTTTGTTGAATTTGTATAGACAATATGTAATTGTATAACATTTGGAAAATATATATTTTTCCATCTATCTAATAGATTATTAAAAGAGATTTTCATGATAAAAATATTTGAGAGAATTTTCATATTTTCTATTCTTAACATAAAATCTCCATTTAAAATTACATGTTTAAAATTTGTATCTAAATTTATCATTTGTAATGATTTTTTTGTTTGACAATCAATTGAAAATGGATTTAAATATTTGCAATTCTTCAAGGAATTTTGTTTAGGAAAATCACAAAATAATTCATCACTTCCTTTTTCACAATCTAATTTACCATTGCAAAATTGATGGTGTGCAATTATTTTACTCTCATTTCTACATTTAAAATATCCAGTTGGTGTGTAGCTGTCTATTTTTTAAAAGAAAAATGGATTTTTTATTCTACATGTTTAAGCAATATGGAATTTTTTTTATATTAACCACAAAATAATTCATCATCATTGTTATAGCAATGATTGATTCCATCACAAACTCTTTCAATACTTATGCAAAATCCAGAATAATAACATTTATATTGGAATTTTGAACAATTATGATTGTCACAATTTTTCAATAATGAATAAGGATATCTAGCTTTTGTTATCATATTGCCTTTTGTATCATACTCTATAAAACACTTTTCAAGTGTTAGTATGTCTAATTTATCTTTTTTTTTAAAAACATTTTCACATTGATTTTCATCTTTTCCATCAAAACAATCCAACATAAAATTACATTGTTTCTCTTTAGTTAAACATATTCTGTCACATTTTAATTG